TTGTCAAATAAGTAATTGTTCTACTTTCTCTGTTTTATTTCAAATCAGGATGGGCAGACCCAATGAATGTATGCTGTGGGTACCATGAGAAGTATGATCATGTATGGTGTGGGCAAAAGGGTGCAATATCGAATGGCACGACAGTGTATGGTGCAGTCTGCAAGAACCCAGCGTTACATGTGAGTTGGGATGGTGTACACCACACTGAAGGTGCAAATCACTGGTTTGCTAATCTCATATTTAATGGCTCACTTAACGATCCCCCAATTCCCATCACCCATGCTTGTTATAGGAATTAAGGTTTTCAATCTCCCCTTGAATCAAAATTGATTATGTTTTTCATGCCGGAGATTAATACTTACTACTTGTTAGATGAATAATCTATACTAGGAAAGGCGCAGGATTTAGAGGATCAGCCTTGCAACTGTACTTTTGTATGACTCATTTGGGAGAGGTCTCAAGTGCATTATGCTGTTACAAAAAATTGTTGTCACATTGGTAGGTCAAATAATGTGACATTAAATTGAGATTATAACAGCTTGTTTTTCTCGGCCTCCTCATATTATCTTATTTATCTCGAAACAAGCTATGATTAAAAAGGCTTCAATGCTAAATAAATTACAAACATAAATAAAAGCCTAGAATCACGTCTTAATTCCACATTGCATTACTTATTTAAAGCAACAACCAAGATCCTTGAAGACAATCCATATGCATAAACTCTCACCAGTGCACCTTTACTCCTTTAGGTATTAACAATCTTGCAAAAGCAACTTACTTGTCTGTCCCACCAAGACCATTTTAAAGAACATGATCAGTGAAATTATTTCACAACTTGTAACAGTCGTAACAAGCAAATATTCAAACTTTCATGATCGACATCAATTGCACAATTCATTCAATAAAAGGTTCATTCGTGAAATAGCTCATTGTCAAATATGTTTTGGTTACAAGCAATTCACGCTCCGAAAATATAATCACGTATAATATGTTCGAATTGTCAATAAGACTCATAACCATAATTTAGAAGTTTGGGGAAAGAAGAGAGGTCACAAGACCAATTGCATTTAGACTGCAGGGCCTCGCTTCCTATAGAACATGTGCTTGCAAGACTTGTAGAACATCCTGAACCACGGCTACAAACCTGGAAAATTACAAGCACAAGCCTAGACCACAACCCTCTTCAAGTCTTCATTAAATGGTAGGTCACGATTTTCCACGAGACAGATACCCATACCACAACACAATTCATCAAAAAGCCAGGAAAAGATTCTTTTGCCCTTGGCCTAGATCGCGCTCTAGTCATATACTACTCGTATTTGTTCATTATTTGATACAACTACTGTCTAATTCATGGCAAATTTGATACAGAGTCTTGTTGCGATGTGTTACGATGTAATATTCAAAGCCCTAGTATAGAATGAGGGTTAATTTACGCAATTGAGCTCTACAATTCAAAGCCCTTAAAGTAACCTTGAAGAAATTTGCTTAACTTAGGAGTTGAGCACACTAGTCCAGTTTGCTTCAATTACAACCCTAGTTGTATTATTATGATAAAAAACACAAGCTAAGTTAGAGGAGAAATTTTCGATGCAAGCTGAGCTGTCTGCTAACAGTCTAGAAAAATAAGTTTGAACTGGCTCAAGTCTCTGCTTTGACCTTTACGAGATCAAAAAGGTCTGCTGTGTGTAAACAAAGTGTGGTTATCTACTTATTTGACTAGAGAGGAAAAACTAAGATCTGAACAAAAATTTAACAATACATTCATGCTAGTCATGAGAATGATTACAGAACTCGTTTATAGGATCAATAATCATTCGCTTCAGATTATCACAAATCAATGCAAAGTAAGGGTAAATTGGTTCAAGACAAGGTAAAATAAGTACTTCCTATAAATTGAACACATCCCTTCTTCACTGTATATACATCAAACAAGCTATTCACTTTTAAATTTGTTGCTTCTCTGAGGAATACACTAAACAAAAGCTCACAAATGATATTGATGTATATTAGATAAAATTAGCCCAATAGAGTCATAAGGCAAGAACTAGATTTTCAGCGTACAAAATACAAGTTCTTAGGACAAATTAAGCGAATAACTAGATAGTCAGCCTACAACACATGGAGGTTGAATACGTTTGTAACTGAAGACAACACAATGATTAACAATCTATAGCCTCTGAAGGCAATAATTACTAGATTGTCGAGGTACAAAACATGGAAAGCTCTTAAGAGAACATAAGAGATACTAGCAATAATAGACACTAGGCTACATGGCAACACCATTAGGAATGGAACAAGGCTACCAACACAAACAATGAAATCCCAAAGCATAAAATCCAGAACTAGTTTAACAGTTTTATACCTCAAATTGAACCAGATAAGTCTACCTTGTTAAAGGTTAATCGGCGATCAATATGTCTCACTTGAAATTCATGTCTATGACCATCCTAGAATGCTAAAAAATGGAGCCCATGATTCCTCAACACCTTACTCTTTCATAATCCACACATTGAATTCATTCAATTAATCTTCGGTAAATATCATTAGGCATAAACTTTCATTGAAAGCGTGCAAACCCAAACCCAAAATGAGTATAATTTGCAACTTGCTATCTATTAGCAAGCAATTACCAAACATACTAATCCCTAAAATCAATGAATTGATACTTCCATTCAGTTTTCCAGTCAACTTAGAAATCAAATACCAATATAACATTTCAAAGTAAAATCAAAATAACACAACAACAAATTAAAAAGCATATAACCACCAAAGCATTGCGATAAAAATGATGAAAATATAAAATCCGACGATTAATTGAAACTTTAAGTACTTTTCTAATCCAAAATTTAGGGTTTAAACTAACGAAAAAGAGAGCTCAGAATCATCAGAAAACCACTAATAATAAAAATTATCCATAACATTACCTAAAACCAGAGAATATGATAGGTAGAAATTCCAAACCAAAAACAAAAAAAGAAGAAGCTCTGGTTTCTCTCTCTCGTCCGCCATTGATGTTCTTCAACGGTAAGACTTCTGGAACCTAGCACGAGCACCACGACCACCAAACTTCTTGGGCTCACAACGACGAGGATCAGCAACAAGCAAAGTACGATCATACCTGACAAGAATATCCTTGATCTCCTTCTTGGTCTGTTCATCGACAAACTTCTGGTTGTAAGCAACAAGAGCCTTAGCAATACTCTGACGAATAGCGTAGATCTGAGAAGTGTGACCTCCTCCTTTGACACGGATCCTCATATCGACGCCATTGAAGCGTTGACGACCGAGAAGAAGGATTGGTTCGAAGACCTTGTAACGAAGAATCTCAGGTTGAACGAGCTCGATTGGAGTGCCGTTGATCTTGATTAGACCTCGGCCTTCTTTGCAGTAGGTTACTGCGACGGCGGTCTTCTTGCGACCGAAGCATTGCACTGAGTGGACTGGAGTTGGGGCTGGAGTCGCCATAGTTGGAGGTTTGAAGCTTTTTTCTCTCTCTACTCACTCTCTCACTCTCTCCTTGGAGGCAGGGGGTTTGGGGATTGTGCGGCAGAGAGAAATGAAGGAGGGCGAGAAAGGAGTTAGGGTTATAGGGTTTTGTGGGGGGAAATTAGGGTTCTGAGTGACGGGGATTTTTGGGCTTTGTAGCTATAATGTTTTGTTGGGTCTGGGCTTTGGCCTGTCCATTTTCAATACATCATTTAATCTGTTACTCCAATCTCATTTAACAGGGGTCCTTTTGTATCAAAATATACTAATAAGGTTTTGGTTTTTTTTTTTTTCTTCTTCTTCTTGGTGCTAATTAGACTCGGTTTATTAGACGGGTCGGGTTATATAACTATATAAGTGGGTGATTTTTGAAAGGGTTAAAATGGAACGGGGGTATATTACATGTACACCGTTGTATTCATTTGTTGTTACTTTTACCTCTCTTGAATCAAATTTGATTATGTCTTTCCTGTTAGAGATTAATGAAAACTTAGTTTTGTACACCAATATGACTCATTTGAAACTGGTCTCAAGTTTATTATGGTTCAAAAACTATATTTTTTTGTATAGGTGGCAAATCAAAATTGATTTTTCGACTAACGATATGAATAAAGAAATGTGAAGCTCGTTACAACAATAGTATTAACCCAATTAATTGAAAAAAGACTGTTAATAAAGTTTCATAACCATTATTGCCTAGATGAAAGCTCGAATTTTCTACCGTGTTTTCTCGTCGCAACATTAGGTCATGATCGGACTGCCCTCCACCACTTCCAACCCACTATCATTCAAGTTGATGGTTCTTGGAAAAAGAAAATGGTAGAACAGGGATAGGTTGGGCCTTTCCACCAACTCTATCATTGTCATCGATAGAGGCACTGACGGAGTTAGGCGGGGACAAATTTTAAGAAAATTTGGTTATAATAATTCTTTGCAGCATAATTATAAAGCAAAAAAGTTGATCTAGTGATCAAAGTGTGTATTATGGGCTTTCACTGTGTATTTTGATACAAAAGGGGTTTCTAGTTCAAACACTTCAAAGGGAGCACAATCGTGTAATTTGATACAAAAGGGGAAGTACAAGATATCAAATAGGAAGGTTTGAAATTTGCGCATGTCTCCAAAGTAGGTAGGGATCAGGTGCAACATGGTTATGAGATAGCTAATACTACCAGTATTTTCTTTCCTATTGTTAATGTTATATGGAGTATTCTGCTTTCGCAGTTGTCATAAATCATAAAAGAAACAACAACAGTTAACCAACTTTTGTCTCTAATTTTTTCACTTAATGTTGGACTCAAACAAGTACAGTAGCGTATTTCTTTTTCCTTTTTAAGTCGGGTTTACTACTTCGCCACAACGCCAGCAAATCCAATGAAAATAAGCAAATAAATCATGGATGCAAAAAAGATGGTGGTATCTTTGTGAGCAAAAGGCCGTGACTGTAAATAGCATGTTGGTGTTTGGTTAAACCTGTACAATCCTGGAATTTAAATGTGACTTGGATGGTGTAAACCAAACTGAATCAGCTGCAAATCATAGCTTTACTAATCAAGTTTCTCAGTGCAAATATATCATTTTACATTCAAAAAGAAGCCATACATGAAGCACAAAGTTTGCAATACACTGTTTCAGAATCCTACCAAGTAATTTTTGAGATTTGTGCATATGACTTGTCTAACATGTATTCTTTATCAAAAATATAAAAAAATAAACATATTGCATAAAACAAAAGGGTGTTTATTCAGCATGTGATGGCAAACTACAAAATTTCAGGCCGCATTTTTCTGATCATTTTGCTCTTCCTCGTTCAATTTCTGCAGAAAATAAATCAGAGATTAACATGAATTGTGACATCTTCCAAAACAATGATCAAGGATGGGCTCAATATTCAAAAGAAATGCAACACTCATCTAGTGTCTAGTGTCTGAAAGCTTTTCCAGTGAATAGTAGTTACTCCATAGTCCATACTAAAAACAGAGTAGACTGTTGTTTTCTCCAGCACTTACACAATTTCAGAATTTAATTCCTCTAATCCAAAAACTTGAAAGGATATACCAATCACAACATCTGCAGTATACATTTAACAAGAGAGATTTCACATGTCTAAATGAGAAGAGCTATGCACATCATAACATGGTCTTAAATCACAATGAGAATACTAACTGCAAATTTCACTTGGAACTTGTGAGAGATCAGATGACTCTTCACAATGGAAAAGCGAAATGGAGAGGTTAAGAAGGGAGATAAAAGGAAGTTGAAACCCAAAACTAATGATATCACACAGCCACTGCCATATACTTGGACACCATAGAATTAAATACTAAAGTATGTTTCAACTCATTTTACTTCAGATAAAATGGCTTAAAGGGCGTCGTATGCTTTTGAAACAAAAGTATAAGGAAAATAATACGAAGCAATAAACAACAAGAAGGAGGAATCACACAGCCAGGACATCAATCAAGAAATGGCAAGGACTTGTATCAACTATGTCATCATGAAGGGAATAAAAGACCAAGGAAAATTTGGTTGTACTGGAAAAATAACTAATGTGAATGTGCACAACTTTCCAGAACAGATCACGAAGGTTTTACCAACAACATTGTACAGCAAACAGGCACTCTCTGAACATTCTTCTATGTTCTACTTATTAAGTTTCATGAAGAAAATTCAGCAATTCCACTTAAACTTTTGCATAATTTAACCAGTGACTGCCAAAATTCACAATTCCACTAGTCAGTTAAAAGTGGAAGGATGTCATTTGATCCAGAAAAGAACTGTGAACCAAATACCAGAAGAAAGAAATTCCTTGCAGCCAAATGCCTCATTACTGATATTAAAATGATTGAATTCTTTCTAACACTCCTGCTATTCACAGCTAAGTTGAATACAGTCTGGTAGTCTAGGGAAAAATCTCAAATAAAAAGTTTTTTTTGCAAAGCTCTAACAATTAGATATGGCTTAACTTCTATTTTGTTAAGTACAACTTATTGCAGAGATGATTACTAGCAATGCCATCAATGAGTGGTGAGTACAAACAAAATGCAATCAAAACAGCTGATTTTTCCATTTGAAATATACAGCCAAATCAATCTCCTAGGCTGAGCCCAAATTCATAATAATCATTAACAACTCTCATCTTCGAATAATTATCAAATCCACAAGCCCGTACTCCAGAATCAGATTCCTAGAAAGTTCTTTTTTTTGTTTTAAAAAGACCTATTTAGCCACAGACCACAGTAAATGTCTTAGGTCTGGCAATGAAAGCCAAAAGAATTAGGAGAACACAACCATATACATAATTATGAAAACAGAATTCTAGCACATTCTGCAGTGACAAGAACCTTGGAAATTAACGGAACGAATTGAAGTCCTTAAATCTTCCTAAGAGGAGCAAATGACATAGTACCAGTTGTTATTCATTACAAAGTAAGCTTGCAACCCTTGTATGATTACATTTTTGATGATCTGCCCTCACATAAACAAGCCCTTATTCCAATTATAGGCTATAATTCAACAAATGGAATTAAGCCCTAAAATTAACATTTTTTCATACAAAATACAGTGTCATTCTACATAGTACAGAAGCTTAACTTACAATTTCACAAACCAGAAAGTCTTGCACAACTCTAGCTAAGCAAATTTCTTATGCAAATTGGGCAATACAAACCCAACTCATATTCCGTATGATCATGATTACTTAGCTAATCTCGCAATTCATGAATTAATCAACTACCCAATTTTTTTTTTTTTTTTTTTTTTGACAAAACTACCCAAATCTAAAATTGAAAAAAAAATTCAAAATTTCCAGAAACTAGAAAGATATTTCGATAAATGGCAACATTACATTGAATCAAAACTAAAATTGCTGAAACTACTATATCCAAATTAAAAGGGTACCCAGAAAAATTCAAGATGTTTATCAAACAAACAAGAAATTAGCAGAAAAGGGTTTGAAAGTGCATCTACAAAAAAGGGAAAATTGATAGGGTTTAAAATAAGGAGAGGAGAAAATACCGATTGGGCGTTATGCCAAGAAAGACCCCTGTAAACATTAACGGAGAAAGTGGTGGTGAGATAGATGGTTGCCAATCCCAGTGTTGCCGTAAACCCCTTGAATGCCCAGTCTCCCACCTTGCTTGCTGCCCCCATTTCTCTCTAAAATCTCTTCTTTATTTTCACAAGAGTTTTTCTTGATTTTGTTTTGTTTTTCATTTTGGTCAAGTAAACATGGGCCGTGTCCCCGTGTCGCCAAGAGTCTATGACACATCCTCGTGTGTATAATAGAAATTGTTTTTTATTTTTAACTCTATTACAATATGAGTATTATGTAATAGTTTTGAAACTCTAACTTTAAACACTCTCTATAAATTTATAATACGCGATTACATATTATCCCAATTGTGATAATGGTGAATTCCACCGTATACCAAATAAATGCTATCAATAATGCAAACGACACTCTTTTAATGATTTAATGATTGTTTTAAGATAATAATTAGATGCACTCAGTTGACTTCTAGACTATATAATCACACATTTGACTTTCACTATCTTTGTTGATTTATCTTTAAAAAATCATATAGGATTTATTAGTTACTACATTTTTTTCTTGAATAATACTATTAGTAACTACATCACAATCTGATTTCTTATTATCAAATACTAATATTTAATTAATTTACCAATTAGCGAAAATTAGAAAGGCCTAATTAATCCCTAAATGAAACAAGATATTCTTTGCCTTCCTAAACCTAGATTATTGTAGCCGTAAGTTGACCTAAAAATGTAACCCTATCCATCTATCTATATTATAAATACCCATGCAACAATATAATTATAACCAAATGTTCATGTAATAAAATCCCTGCAATTTCTTCCTAATAGCTAGTAATCTTCTTCATTTCATTTCTTTCCTCCTTAATTAAGTCATTTCACATAAAAACAAGTAGAAGAACTCAACAATAATGGCGGGTATCCCTCATTATTTCTTTGAGGCCGACTTCGATAAGTATTACAGGGACGCTAATGACCACGCTCACGTCGAACCTTACAACCTCTCCATGGCTGAGTGTTTAGGTCCTCTTTACTACGATGTTTGTAGTGTCGCTGAGCATAGTTGTCGTGAACTCGCCGCCTCCAAGGGCTATAGACCAAGATTTAAAGATAATCGAAGTGGATGGTCAAGAATCTCATGGAATTGAAAATATATATGCTCGTCATTATTAATTGTACGTGATTATTCAAGCTGTTGATCTAAGCTAGCTAACAAATTATTATTATTTTAGGTATGGAAATCAAACAATTACAAGATTATTCAAGTTCTTGATCATTTTGATGATAATCATCCATGTTTACTAGTTTTTAGATATATTATAGGGACGTAGTATTATGTTTTTCTTGATTAGTTTTATTAGTGTAAGCTTTATTAATTAAAGCAAACTTTGTTTGTATGATTTCTTTGGACAATTATTAAGCGTGATGTATTAAGGTCAAGTAATAATTGTAGTCAAGAGTGTAGGAAATAAATATTTTTGCATTGCATGTAGACTCGCTTGAATGGCCGATTAATTCATATTTGGTATTTCGATATGATGTTCGTTTAGTTCATAATTTTTTGCAATTTCTTATATCATATTTGGTATTTCGATATGATGTTTGTTTAGTTCATATTTGGTACTTCGATATGATGTTCGTTTAGCTCATTCTTTTTTGCAATTTCTCCAATCTTTGCTAATTATGCTCAATGCATTGATGCAATTAATAGTCATGAAATTGAATTATCGTTCTCGCAGCATGCAATAGCAATAATATGGTCCATAATTATTATGACACTAATTAATCCAGACACTATTAGTTAATAATCCCCTATAGTAGATATCATGCACATGCTTTAAAATAATTGGATCATCCATGCCCCATGGTAGTTATAATTTTTATTGGATTTAATTAGAAAAATACTTTTAAACAAGATTTACTGTATATATATTCGTGATTAAAAAAAAATCAAATAACTTACTTTTATTTTGAAATAAGAAAGAAAAAAAATAGTTTGGTGAAATTATTAAGCCATCTATAATATGTACATAACATTTTGCACAAGAATTTTTTCAATCCAACTAACAAGGGAAAATTAATAAGAAGTGTTTATTTTTAAATTTTAAAAAAAAAAAGTTTTCATGAGGACAACATGTATATATAGTAACAAAATCCTTATTTTTTAGGATATTTTGGATTTTAACACCTGACAAAAGGCTGAAAATGGTTTTTAACACCCCCCAAAAAAAAACTTTTATTTTAACACCTCCCAAAAATATAAAAGTTGGAAGTTAACACCAGTTAACGATTTCCGTCACGGAAATTTAACGTGGGTCCCACAAATTGGCTTCAACTTCAATTTTCACCCAGCAAAACACGAAACTTCCTCTCTGAACCTTCATTTCATTGATTTTATCCATTACAGATTTTTGGTGCTCATAATTTACAGATTTACAGATTTTTGGTGCTCATAAATCAAACCATACAAAAAATAAATAAAAATTCAACACCGGTTCATCTTCTCCTTCGTTGGAGAACAAAGCGACTGAGAACTTCCATTTTTTTTACCACCAATTCCGCCGCCCATAAAGGGCCCTGTACGGCTACTGACCAAGCCTTCGCAGCCAGCAAACATGTTAACTGGGGACCGGCCACCAAAATTAAATCAACCACCCAAGAAACCAACCTTGCCCCATCCCGTTAGCCACCCAGCTCCCTCCCCCGACCGACGACCGGCGAACCCATCCCACCCCTTTTCCCCACAAACGCAACCCAACCCTCTCCCTTTTCCCCTGCTGCCCCGACCCAAGCCACCACACCGAAACCACAATCAAAGATCTGAATCGCCGCAACCACCACCACTACCACCACTCTTCTGCAACACTTTGCTCCAAACCCTAACGAATCGACCCGCCTTAACCTTTTCGGCCACCCTAACCCCTAAACCACCACACCGTAACTTTTTTCGGCAAACTTAAATTGATTTCTAGACGAGGTTCGATGGATCTGCGATTTGCTCTGATTTCGGGAATTGATGTTGGGAATTGATTTTTTGCGGTTTGAGTGAGGAGGTGGCTGCAGGGGTTGCGATTGTGGGCTGGTATTTGGAGAGGAGCTGATTTGGTTGCGAGAACGGGGAAAGGGAAGGGGGGTGGGTTCGGTTGGCAGCGTAGGGGTGGGGGAAAGGGAGGGGGGAGGGAAGGGGTGGCAGTTGAGGGGAGGGTGGGCAAGAACGAAGGAAAGAGTTTGGGATGGCAGCCATGAAGATGAAGGGAGGAAGAAGACGAAGAAAAGATGAAGGGAGGAATAAGAAGAAAAAATGGGATGGCAGCCACGAAGGTGGGTTTCGTAAAAAATTGAAAACGAAGGAGAGTTGAAGCCAATTTATGGGACCCACGTTAAATTTCCGTGACGGAAATCGTTAACTGGTGTTAACTTCCAACTTTTATATTTTTGGGAGGTGTTAAAATAAAAGTTTTTTTTTGGGGGGTGTTAAAAACCATTTTCAGCCTTTTGTCAGGTGTTAAAATCCAAAATATCCTATTTTTTATACTAGAAATCTAGAATGATAATTGTTTATAATTTAACTTGTTCTTCAATAAGAATAATATATATATATATATATATATATATATATATATATATATATATATATATATATATATATATATATAGGGGAGGGATCCGGTAAGAACCCCTCCTTATATAAGAACCCTAGTTATATAAGAACCAATCTCAGCCGTAGGATTAAGGTAATTTAGACGGTTAAGATTAAAACACGTATTTTTCCTCATACCCCCTACGGCCCTACCACCCGATCAAAATTTTCTCTCTCCTCTAACTTTCTCTCTCTTCGTGCTCATCTCATTCTCTTTTGCAAACCCCCAAAAATCTCCATAGAAATTGCAATTTGAAGGATTTTCGACTCAGGTATGTTTTTTTTTTCGATTTTGTTCAAATTTCCATGAACTTAGCATGTTGTTCAAGTAGATTTTGCGATTTTTTGGTTTGCTTTTTGCGATTTTATGTTTTCCGATTTTTTGATTTGATTTTGCGTTTTTTTTTTTCGATTTTGTTCAAATTTCCATGAACTTAGCATGTTGTTCAAGTACATTTTGCGATTTATTGTTTTGATTTTTGCGATTTTATGTTTTCCGACTATTTGATTTGATTTTGCGATTTCGTGATTTGATATTTGCGTTTTTATGTTTTTTTTAGTTCGATTTTTCGATGATTTTTTCGATTTTAATGGTTTTTCTGTTTTCGATTTTTATGGTTTTTTTGATTTGTTTTTGATATTTCGTGAGTTGATATTTGCGTTTTTTTTAAAATGTCTGCTAAATGCTCGATTTCGTTAGTAAGCGAAATTATAGCTATGAATATGAATGTCCAGTATTTCTTAAAATCACTGTTTTTTTTTCTTGTTGATGGATATGTATCTGGTATTTGTTGTTGATGGATATGTGTGATAACACTCTTCCGTCAATGTTATTTAATGGCTTGAAATCGACTTTGAGTTTGATGAGTAGTGAGTCTGAGTCATCTTTTGGATTACCAATGGACACAATACGAGTGACCGGGATTGCTGTACATGTTGCCTTGATTTGGTGGCTATTGTTGTCATTGAGAGGAGAAGCCATGTTTGTATGAAGATTTTGTTGCATATGGTGGTATGGATGGTGGCTATTGTTGTCATATGGTGGTATGACGATTAATGAGCAAGCATAGCTTGAACAACTTGGCATTACTTATTCTGCTTGCATCAATTAGTCATGTCTAAAAACAAATCTGGCTTATTCTCTATGTTCTATTTTTTCTTATTTTTCTGGATCTATAGTTCGAATTTAGTGTTCGATTTTTGCTGATTTTTTTCGATAGCGGCTAGCCTGGCTAACCTAAAAGAACAATGCATATAGTACTTCGTAGAGTAAATAAAAACTGTAAAAGTATAAAACCCTCTCCCACTACACCAAAAATGTGGGCTCTGACCCTCTAAGTCCTTACAGTACTTAGTATTACATAATCTATTAATTTAGTAGGATTTGGTTTTTAGCTATAAAATGGACAAAATAACAGAGAAGCCTGAGAAGATGAAATTACATTTACATGGGATTTGATTTAATAATGTAAAACATTTGTCAGATGTCAGACTGAAGATTAATTAGTTCTGAAAGGTTTTGCAGAACAATCAGATATAGTGTACA